TGCGTGACAGTGAGTATGCATGTGACAGAGTGTGAGTGTCTGTGTCTGTGTGTGTGTGTGTCTGTCTGTGTGTCTGTCTGTCTGTCTGTGTGTCAGTGTGTGTGTGTGTGTGTGTATCAGTGTGTGTATCAGTGTGTGTGTGTGTCTGTGTGTGAGAGAATGAATGAGACTGTATGCAAGTGACAGTGTGGAGAGTGTGTGTGACACTGAGTGTGAGTGTGAGGTGTGTGTGTGTGTGGGTATGTGTTGGGGTTTGAGTCCCACCTTGTGAACTGTCTGAGAGTAAATTCCTGGTGAGTTGATCCTTGTCCATCAGTTGAAGCTGTAACATTTTACAGCTCACTTTTTCTGATTGCTGAGGAACAGCAGCGCAGAGATCAATAAACAGCATGTTGCTGACTGACTCACAGCTGCTGTAAAAATGTCACCCTGGTTTTTGTTTGAATAAGTGTTTTCTTTCAACGTGACCTATGTAAACAATTTCAATATTTGATACATTTTTTAAAGGTTCACCTTCCTCTGCTGTTTGTGATGGTCAGAAACATATTAACACACCACATATTAGTGTGCTAACAACACCATCAATTTCTGGCTGTGTTCGACATGATCCCATTATGTCAAAGATAAAGATCATTTGGATCTTTCTGTGCTCCCTGTCTAATGCTCCCTTCCTGGTCACTTCACTCACCACAAGGCTGTCAAGAGGAGTTCCAGCAGGGGTCAGTGCTGAGCTACTCCTGTTCCCACTCTGAACAGTTGGTTGGAAACCAAGGTTGACATAACCTTGAGACCGAGCAGAGCTGCTGAGAGATTTATGACATCTGCTACTGAGGGGAGAGCTGGAATGATGGGTTATATTTCAATAGAATGTATCCTGCATTATGTGATTTGTCAGTGATGTGTTGCATTTCCATCGATAGGCATTGTTGAAGAATACCAGCTCCCTTACCATGACCTGGTGCCCAGTGACCCATCCTTTGAAGATATGAGGGAGGTTGTGTGTATCAAGCGGCTGAGACCATCCTTCCCCAATCGATGGACCAGTGACGAGGTAAGGTAGACATTTGTTAAAGATGAGTATGGGGTAGGCGGCTGGTGTAACAGAGCAATGGAAGAGTAAGGTGGTAGCATTAGTATTTCTGTGACAAGACTAGTAATACAAGAGCAAGATCTCAAATCCCATCCTGGTGCCATTTCAATTGAATTAATTCATTTAATCTGGAATTGAAAGCTGAGCACATCAGAAACGTCACAGTCATCCCATTTCCCATAATAAAAAGCAAAGTACTGTGGGTGCTGGAGATCAGAAAGTGCTGGAGGAACTCAGCAAGTCCTGGCAGCATTTGCAGATAGAGAGAGAGAGAGAGAAATACAGAGTCAGCATTTCAATTCCAGGATGACTCTTCGTTGGAAACAACTTCATTGTGTGTTCTCCAGATTACGTTTCAGCAGATTAACATCGGGATTTCTCCCAGTCGATATCTGTAGGTATGATGGGGTGTCCTTGGAGACCTCACAGAGAGATGCCAGGCCACGTTTACCACTGAACACCCAGACACTGAGAAACTAGTGGCATGTGTTTTGCCAATTCCCTTCCAAAATTTCTATTTTGCTGGGTTTCGTAGTTATTTCAACTCATGCATTTCACACTTGACCAACAAGATCTCCTGTTCCCTCTTTGGTGCTACCTCTAGTACTGATCCCTAATTCTGCCTTCTAAGGCTGTTAAATCTGAATGATTCCTACAGGGTTCTATGAATACTGAGGTTAATTATCATCATTGCTCACTCCCATTAAGTTTCAATGCTTCCACATTGAAAACAGTAACAGGTTTTGTGATCTGATTAATTTATTTTAATGCTACACTGTAACGTTCATTCTGTGCAGAATAAATTGTGACCATTTTGGTTATTTTAGTTGATATTGTAAGTAGCTGCATTTTCTCAGCTGAGATTCCCTCCTGGTTTTGAAACTATTAGCTTACATGCGTGCACGCACACCCACACCCCCGCCCCACCCCCCAACAAACACATATACACACACACACACACACACACACACACACACCCTGTTGAGGGTAGGCATCCTCCCTTTGCCCCTGCAAATTATGGTCCCATCTACAAGCTGAAATCTATGGGATACTCTCATAAATCCCTTCAAGACCTCACTTTCATCTCCTCATCTTGGACCATCTTTAAAATCCATGGAGTGATTAAAATTGGGGTTAGGCAAGAGGTTGGAACAGGAGGAGCTCAGGAATGGTGGAGAATTCAGGGACTGGAAGAGGTGACAGAGATGGGGCAAAAGCAAGGCGTTTGAAAACAATGGTTTCTGTTCTGTTAGGCAGTTGCCATGTATTAAGTTCGCCAAAGGAAGCACTGGGACAATTGCGCAGGATTGTGAAACTGCCCATTTGCTTTGGCTAATTCCTGTTTGTGTGGTCTTCATTTACTTTTGTGCTTCTGTATTTGCCTCCACAGTGTTTGAGACAAATGGGGAAAGTCATGACAGAGTGCTGGGCCCACAATCCAGCTTCTCGGCTAACAGCTCTCCGAGTGAAGAAAACCTTGGCTAAAATGTCCGAGTCTCAAGATATAAAACTCTGATGCAACGCCAAATCTCCACTCAGTGCTCAAGACCCTCAGATAGCACCGGACCCACAGCAAATGGGAGAGTGACAGCCTTTTGACCCTTCTGAACTATCTTTCCTGTTCAAGTCATTTCAACCTCATGACCATTGGCACATCAATGGGCTGATTAACAAGGGAGAAGTGAACTGTCACAACCACCAGAGATGGCAGAACGAGCATTCACTGGGTATTCCTTGCTTACATAGTATAAAAAGCCACAGGTATTCAAGAATTTAATGCAAAGGGAGGTTGCATGCTCGCTTTCTGTGAAAGCTGCTCACTTGGGTAATTTGTTTTTTTTTTGAGAAGTGTTACGCAATGAGACACTCAAAAAGCCAACTCCAACCTGACTCGAATTGTCTATAAACTGATGTCGTTAACATTGGGTGGAGCTGCTGTAGGGTTTAACTGAGCTGAGTTTGTGAAGATGATGGGGATGGAAGTCTGTCGCCTGGTATCCACTGAGAGCGAACAGCCTCATCTCAAGGGAATGTGTTCCGCCATTGTCTGCTCTGTCACGGACTTCCGTGAAAATTTTTCATTGAATATGTGCGTGGGTATTCCTCTGGCAGAAGAAAGTTGGATGGGGAAGGTCCTCATGACAGGAATGTGACATTTGTTAACAAGCACTGACAGGAACCCAGACAATGTATGACATGGATTGCAATGTGTTCACCTTCCGTCCGAAACCATTTCCAGATGACAGTATAATTGGTCTTCACCTGACTGGGCTAGCCCATCTGGAACTAGAATTGTGTGCCAATATCTTTCTCTCGAATCTCTTGTCACTCCATTGTGCTTTCGGACTTGCCTTTGTACCTCCTTTAAAAGCCCGACTGCTCTTATAGAAATGTTTTCAGTGGACAGAGGTCTGAAAGGGGGCTTCTTAAGCTATGAGAGGGACAATCTCCTGATCGAGAGTTCATAGCGTTGGAGCAGCATGCTGGGACGACATGGTGCACCATCATTGGTGGTAGTTTCGTACATTCAGAGGATAGTTGCCCCTGGCTGTCAGACCCTGGCAATGAACTTAACCTTAGCAACCAAGTGTCCACGGGTTACTCCTCTGGGAAATCACTTAAGGGGCTGGTTGTGGGGAACTGACCAGTTACTGAGTGTCACTCCCTATGGGAAGGATCATGGAATTGCTAACGAAGTGCTGGAAAAATAGAGCCCCAAACAGTGAGGAGGCAAGAAGGGGACACATTGTAAAACCCAAAATGTGCTTGTTCAAGTCCCTGTCGCTGAGATTCCTGCTCCCTGTTTTACATGTCACTGGTGAGAACTCATGGCAGTAGATACTTGCCAGTTTAGAGATATGGGCAGCCTTGTGGGGATGAATAGTTACAACATTGGGAAGAATTCCATTGCTTTCCCAATGCACTTGCCCTTTAGTAAATGTGTTTAGGTGTTTACTGCTATTTTTCAGGACATCCTACTCTGTAAATCCATTTAGGACCCTCACATTTTACATGTTGGATGGGTATGCCCTACCCTGTTGGTTCCCAGCTGAGCACCAGAGACATGGGAACATTTGACGATAACCCCTGGTGTAAGGATTGGTCCCAGCGAATTCCAAGGGCCTAACCTTTAGCGTTCCCATCATATTCCAGCCTCCAAGCTTCCAGCTATGTTCTCTGTAAATGAAGAAGAGCCTTTCAGGTGTGAAGTTAGGAAACACATGCAAGGAAGTGAAAGGAATTAGTTACATCCCAAGGTGAATAAATGCAGAGCTGGACAAACCCTGCAGGTCAGACAGCATCAGAGGAGCAGGAAAGTCAACGTTTCGGCCCGAAACATTGACCTTCCTGCTCCTCTGACGCTGTCTGACCTGCTGTGGTTGTTCAGCTCCATGTTTATTGACTCTGGCTTCCAGCGTCTGCAGTCCTTACTGTCTCCTAGTCACTACATGCCAATATTTATTCAAGGGTAAAAACTGAGGCATTATAAATTACGATATATTGCGTTAATTTGCTGTCATGAAGAAACACTAGTGTTTGTTTTGGTGCAATTCACAAAGTTTGGAAGCTCCCATCCACAAGCTACACCGATTGCTAATTTTTAAGTCTGAAATCAGTAGGGTTTTGGTAACCAGAGAAATTAAATAATACGGAGGCAGACATATGGAGTTAGAGCAAAAATTACCTGTGATCCCACAGAGTAGCAGAACAAGTTCAATGGGCTAAATGATCTGTTGTTTTTTGTGTTACTTTTATCCTTTGGTTACTCTTGCACTGATCTGTTCACCCTCAGTGATCAATGCCTGGAACCATCTTCACAACTCCACCGTTTCTGAAATCTCACCTATTAGGTCAAGAATTTCCCGATGACATGCAATATTAAAAAAAATCACTAACAGAACAAACATGTTCAACCATTCAGTTTTAGACCTTGTAATTTCAGTTTTCGAAAAACATTTACGCTTGGGCTGATAAATGATGAGTAAGATTTGTACCACGTAAGTAACGGCCTGTGACCATCTCCAGCAAGAGAGTCTCTGACCCCCTTCGATGTTCAATGATATTAACATTAGTGAATCCCTCACCATCAATATCCTGGGAGTTACCGACCAGAAACTGAATAGACAGACCATATTATTTCTATGGCTGCCACCATCCAGTAGAATACACCATTGTTACTTGGAAACATATCACTATAACAATGCCACTGGGTCAAAATCCTGGAACTCACTTTCTCACCTTACCATTAACCAGGAACTCAACTGGACTCACCACATGAATACTGTGACTTCAAGTGGAGGTCAGAGGCTAGGAATCTGCAGTGAGTAACTCACTTCCTGTCTCCCCAGAGCCTGTCCACCATCTACAAGACAGAAGTCAGGAGTGTGATAGAAAAGTCTCCAGTTGCCTGAATGGGTGCAGCCCCAACAACATTCAAGAAGCTTGACACCATCCAGGATAGAACAGCCCACTTGATTGGCATCACATCCATAAACATTCAGTCCCTCTATGACCAACAATCAGTTGTAACAGTGGCTACAAGATACCAGCTAAAGGTACTGCAGAAATTCACCAAGGTTCTTTAAACTCTATCTTCTAAACCCGTGACCACTACCATCTAGAAGGAAAAGGGCAACAGATATATGGGAACACCACCATCTTCAAATTCCTCTCCAATCCACTCACCATCCTGATTTGGAAATATATCACCATTGCTTCACTGTCGTTGAGTCAAAATCCTGGAATTTCACTCCCTAACAGCATTGTGGGTCTACCTGCATTCAAGAAGGCAGCTCATCACCGCCTTCTCAAGGACAAGTAGGGACAGGCAATAAATGCTGGACCAGCCAATGACACCTATTTTCCGTGAATAAATTAAAAGTAATTAGTGGTGTTGGTCTTGGTGTTGGTGTTCATATACAGATTCAAGAATGACCTTCACAGTTATGGATGGGTAAGAAACACTGGCCTTGTAAACAATTAGAACATAGAACATAGAACTGTACAGCACAGTACAGGCCCTTCGGCCCACGATGTTGTGCCGAATTTTTACCCTAAACTTTTACCCCAATGTGAACATTGAAAAAAAGTCCCTGAAACTAGAAAAACTGTCTCTCCCTCCTATCCCCCTACTCTACCATCATTTGGAAAGCATGAAATAGTTACCAAATGAAGCCTTCTATACTTCCCACATCCTCATGAAGAGTGGGGCTGCTTTCTTGTTAGAGCAAGACAGCCAGTGGTGGTTTTACCTGAGGGTCACCATGCCTCACCGGCTGGGAATAGGTTACAAAGATAAGTCCTTCATGGTACCCTCAGCCAGAGCAGGAATTGAACCCACACTCTTGATGTTACTCAGTATCACAACTCAGCTATCGAGCCAACTGAGCTAAACATGTTTATGCAGGTGGGAGCAGAGGCACAATCTTTTTGGCAGGTAGCACAGGTTCAAATGGCCTAATGATCTAATCCTGGTACATTAAATGTTATTAAACTGCCATTTCATTTCTGTCTAATGTTAGTTTGAAACAAACTGGACACTATTCCTCTTGTGATTCCTTTTAATGAACTGTACCATTATTTACCCTCACTGGACACCCACATGTTCTGGTAACACTATGGAAATTTTCATTTGGTTTCTCAGCAGATTGAACTAATGTTTCCCTTCGATTTTACTCACTGGCTTTCAATTTATTGAATGAACAATGTCTCCAGTGTGATCTGGAATTAGTTATCCTCTTGGTTGTCCAGACACACAATGCTATCAAGATGCACCTTCTAGTCAGGACTGCTTCTGGTTAGATACAGAGAGTGAACATCCTCCTATTCTATCTGAACAATGAGCTTTAACACAGGCTCTGAATGTCATGGAAAAGAGAGACATGTTGCTGAAGGTTTCCATCTTGCTGTCATCAGGACAAACACAAGAATGCCAAATTTCAAACAATCGTAACAACTTATGTTGCAGGAGAAACACGTGCTGATTGGCTTGGCCCACTCTGGTTGCCATGGAGCAAGTAGCATAAAACTACTGGCTCCTCAAGCTTCCAGGTAATTTAAAAAAGGCGCAAGACTTGAACATATTCCTTTTGTTTGTAGAGAACGGGTCTTGTACCTGAATGTATGTATAAAAGCATAAATGAGTCCTGTTATTAGTAATCATTGATTGTCAGTGTAGCACTCAGGATTGTTTAGCATGTGTCCCACAAACACATAATCCCATCTGACATTCAACATACTTTGGGTTTTATATGGATGAGTACAGTCCATAATAGGCCTATCACAAGCAATTGAAGGAACATGCAGTTTGATATTAGGCTATCACAAGGATCATGGGGCTATGTACATCATACCGGCACTGAAATTCATACATGATATGTTTACCAGGCTGATTCCAGGGATGGTGGGACTGACGTATGAGGAGAGATTGACTACATTAGGATTGTTTTTGCTGGAGTTCAGACGAATGAGGGGGGGATCTCACAGAGACTTATCAAATTCTAACAGGGTGGGACAGGGTAGATGCAGAGAGGATGTTCCGATGGTGGGTGTGTCCAAAACCAGGGGTCTGAGGATTCAGGGTAGACCATTTAGGACGGAGATGAGGAGACATTTCTTCACCCAAAGAGTGGTGAGCCTGTGCACTTCATTATCACAGGAAGTAGTTGATGCCAAAACATTGAATGTATTCAAGAGGTGACTAGAAATAGCACTTGGGGCGAATGGGATCAAAGGTTATGGGGAGAAAGCAGGATTAGGCTATTGAGTCGGACGATCAGCCATGATCGTGATAAATGATGGGGCAGGCTCAAAGGGCTGAATGGCCTCCTCCTGCTCCTATCTTATCTGTTTCTATGTTACTTGTTCATGTTTGGCAGCAGGTTGTTTTGGATTGGCAGCAATATCTGGTGAATGCAAAGTACCACATGGTGACTGTAGTGATTGGAAGGAGGTCAGCCAGCTGGACCTCAATGAATATGAGTTCCCTGGTTGGGGCTGTTAATCTGGTCCGATCAGGGAGCCCTGGCTGACAGATAAGAACAGGGGTGTCAGGGGTTCTGCTCTCAGGGACCTGGGTCAGTGTCATGTACTGTGCAGGTGTAAATAAAAGGTGACTTGGTGACAGGATACCGGCCTTCCTGGAGTTATTTCAGTAACAGCATGGAAAAGGCAGGGTAAAAGACAGCCAAGAAGTTTCACCAATTTGTTAATGTGTTAGCACTGAGGAGCGCAGTGCTGAATTACTGCCATCCTCAGGTAACTCAATTCCTAAACAGCAACAATATGTAGAGTCTTGTGCTGAATTGATGGCAATCTTTAATGAGTCCAGCTCCATTAGACAGAGTATCCTTCTGCCTAAAGTTATTTCACAAAGTGAAAGAGAGATATTGCTTCACTTGACCTGTCTCTTGAACAGAAAACCCACGATACCCTGTCATTTCTTTCTCGGGGCCCTCTCCATCTGTGACCGGCACTAAAGTAATGCTGCTGCGAAAGACTCCACACCTGTTTTTTCACAGAAGTTCATTGCAACGATGACGATAATATCAATCAGAATGGGTCTGCTGAGCCTCTCCTGACCAAAATAAACTCGATCAGAAGATCAAGTTAGTTTGGGTTACAGGCCGGGGAAAGTCCTCATTGTTACTTCAGTGGGGAGCATTTGGTTTGTGAAGCTTCAATATATTATCTCTACTCAAACAGTTAAACAATTATTTTACACCATCCAATTGTCAGTCGGTTCACGATCAGAAAAACCGAACCCTTCGCTGTAACTGATCCCTTACAATGTATTAAAGGTGGAGTTGGCTCTTTGATTGCTAGGGGATGTATTTGTCTCTCTGGGCAGGGACAGTCCAAACATTGGGAGGATATCTTATATTGTTGTGTGGATTTGTATGTCATTAGAGGGACTGTGGAGTAGAGTAAGTACTGGACAATCGAAATCCCTGTTGCTGACAGAGTAGGAAGAAAAATAGAATATTATATTTTGTGTATTTTTTAAAACAAAATGTCAAAAACCTTTAAAGACCTTTTGCGTGCAGAATATCCTCCTGCAGTTCCTGAATTTTTTTTTTACTCACCGGAATCTGAATCCATTTCATTTAAAATGGTAGCTGCCTCCCAATTAGCTCCAAGCATGTACACACACAGTTGGTTCTTGCATGCTGTGTGGGGAGCTCCTCAAAGTCAGCCCAGCATTTTCTATAGGTTGGCAAATAGGGAATGGTTTCAGTCCTGTACACATGGTGTGCACTATTTCAGTCCCGTACACCTTGGGGTGTACTGTC